GAACAGAATATCAGCTAGTAAATACAGAAGGAATGATGAAGCCAGAATATCATATTTGTGCAACCATTATAGTAAATAACTGATACAGACAGGAATTATCAGTGGAGGCTAAAACTTGGAAGTCTGATGAAAAATAGGATACTTACATAAACAAAGTTCCTCCTTACAAATTACTGATTAACTACAAAGGGGAAAATTAGTCATTCTAAGTGGGCTAACCCGGTGAACACAACCATAAACATTTAATCAAAGTAAACTATATCCATAAAGAGACAAACTGACCTCACGCGCCTCCTGATGTGATGCCCTGAGAAGAGCTCGGTGTCATGCCTGTCGGACACCTACCCAACCTGCAGAGCCCGCGTCCAACTGTGAGCAACCAGCAAGCAAACCACTTGAAGGGCGCTCTACAGAATAACTGGCCTATAATCTAAAAAAGAAGATATGACTGCTAAGAGCAATGCGTGATCCGCATTGGATGCTGGATCAGGGGGAAAGTAGCTATGAAATAGGACATTATTAGAACAGTTGGTGAAATTTGAATATGGCTTGTGGATCAGATAATAATTTTGTATCGATGTTACATTTCCTGATTTTGACAAATGTGGTTATATAAGAGAAAGTTCTTAGAAAATACACACTGAAGTATCTAGAGATAAAGAGAGCATAAATAGTTCAGAAAAAATATATGTGTGTGTGTGTGGATATAGATAGAAAAAAAGGTAAGCCACCTGGGGCAAAAGATTAACAATTAGAGAATCTGGGTAAAGAATATATGGATGTTCTTTGTACTTTTGGCAGGCAACATTTTTATAATTGTGAAATTATATACAAATTAAAAGTAGAAAAAATATTTGCACTGTACTGGAACTATCATACATTGCTGGCAGGAGCATAATTGATATGACCACTTGTAGAACTCTCTGGCAATAGCTACTAAGGCTAAACACATATATCCCTATGGCCCAGCAAGTCCACTCTTACATTTTTACCCAACAGAAAAGACTGCTTTGTGTCCACTAAAGGACAGGTTCAAGAATGTTTATAGTAGTAAAAACTGGAACTAGCCCCAAACTGGAAGCACCACAAACTATTAACAAGGGAATGAATAAATATATTGTGGCATATTCAAACTACACATCATGGAAGGACAAACAAGTACACGCAACAACATGGATGAAGCTTAAAGATACCTGTTAAGCCAAAGAAACCAGTAATAAAAGAGTATAAATCCATATGAGTCTTTTCATGAAGGCACAGGCAAAACTCATCTATAATAAAAGAAGTCAGAATCGTGGTTAGCTTTGGGGGATGGTCATAACTATGAGAGGACACAGGAGCCTTCTGCGTAGTAGTTCCACAGGTGCATACATATGTAAAAATGCATCAGGCTGTGCACTTTATGTGTGTTATTTAAGCATTTTATGTAGGCTATTCTTAAAGGATTTTTTAAAAAGTACTTATTCTAACTTATGCCCTTTCCTGCCACCTTAGACTGGTGAGTAGAGATCAAACTCTGATAGTTTAGACAGAATATTGTTTATCAATCCCCCTAAATCAATAAATGAAGACAACAGAAGGAGTATTTTAGATTTTTAAGAGAATAAGGGCTGTTTTGAATGCCTCATGCTCATGTGGTAGGTTTGGGTTGGAGAGATAGGCAGGGGCCAAATTATGTAAATCCCTGTTGGCCACCGAGAGGAATTTGGCAGAAGCAGCAGGGGAGTGATGTGACCCTAGAATGGAAGCAGGAGACCCTGAAGAATGCACTTTCTGACTTTGCAACAATGACAGGGGCGGCCTTGAGGAGCAGGGAGCTCCCAGCACGAGCAGGGGTGGGGAACCTCTCTGTCCAGCATGCTTTAGAGCGAGATTAGGCTCCAGGAGGGGTGTGAAGCAAGATGACTCCTAAGAGATCATCCTACCTGACATTCCCGCTGGCCAGCCGCATCCCTCCCACCCCTACCCTGCCCCCTGGCCTCCAGGCAGGGTCTCCTCAGCACCTGCCGGGAGGGGGCGCCAAATCGCCTCATTCCGAGCCCCTCCACACCTACCCTGCTCCCCTCTTGGTCATTCAGCGATGCTCTTGACAGTACATTATCATAAAGGTGCAGCAGGGACTGGCTGGGTAAGCTTTTGTACATTTGTACAATGGGATGTTGTGTGGTTGTTCACATTGACGTGATGGAAGAAAATTTAACAGTGTGGAAAGATGGGCACCATATACTATTAAGCAAAAGAAGTTGGTTACAGTGTGATCTGATTGGAAAATTGACAAAAATATGCATGAAAATACTAGATGATGTGAACCTCAAAATATTGTCATAGTCTCTGGGTAATGGGACTAGAGGTATTTTCTTGTTACCTGTGATTTCTAGATTGTGTAAAATTAGCATTACTTAACTTTTATTGGCTTGTATGAAAGATTTTTTTTTTTTTTATTCTACTATTCAGCAAAGCCACCTCTTTTCTATTAACTCTGACCTACACTTATCTTTTCTGTCTCTAAATCTCATTGTTGGTTCTGTATAATCCAGTACAAGGCTATACTGTCTTGTGTTATTACAAGATTCTTTCATTCCCATTGGTCTTGTACCTCCAACAAAGAAAAGTTTTCTCTGGTCAAATTGTGACTTATCCCCATCACATAGCACTATGCAGGAATTGGCCACTTGCTGGTGGCTTGGTCCTCAAAGGCTGCACATAACCTACCTGGCTTTCCAGAGAGGCCCTGGACCTGGGAATGCCCCAAAAGCTCACAGCTCTCATGGGTGAGCCCCATGGAGGTGAGGCTCACTTACTTCCTGACCCGGGTATCCAGTCCCTGGCATTCCAGGCTGCTCGACCTTATCGATTCTGCCTCTATCTTCTCTAGTGATTGGGCCAAGCAACCTGCAAAACCTAACGCCCTGTCCAAATTCCAAACTGACTGTCCTCCTGTAGCTAGAGCACAAGTGGGATTGGTCACCTTTGCATTTTTTTCTCATTATTTGTGAAGGGCATTAGAGCTCAGGGGGTCTTTAGTGACTACCATTCTTTCAGAAATTACCCCATATCCATTTTTGAAAAATATGCCTTATTGCCATAGTGCCTACTGTGGTCCGGATCCTCTGCCAGGCCGTGCTCTGTAAAAGTGACTGCAGGGGCAAGGTCTGGAGAGGCATCCCTTTGTTCTTGTGCTCAGTCTGTGCTGGGAGGCAGCTGTTCACTTCCATTTTTACTAGCAAATCCTTGGAATTGACCTCCGCAATGATTTTATCATGCTCTTTTTACTCCTAGGCAAGTCAAACTCCAGTCACCACCGCTTCGCGCTTCTCTCCTTTCCATCGCTAAATCAGAGGGGACAGCTTAAACGAGGCTTAGAATAGGAGACCCTGCTGTTTTCTTGAGTTTTATTTCAAGTGCACTCAGACATGATTCTCCACAGCTATTTGACAGGCTGTCAGGTGGAAGGAGAACAAGATTTGTTCTGTAACAGAATCCTATTGATTCTACAACCCTAACATTGCTCCAGCTTCCCACTTTCTCCAACTCCCTTGCCCCGGTCCCGGGCAGACCACCTTGCAGCCTTGCCTGGATGACTGGGATAGCCTCCTAACCGGTCTGCCTGCCTGTCCAGTCTTGCTCCTCTAATCCTTTCTCAGAGAGCCTCAGTAATCTGTTTAAATTGTAAATCTGATCACACCACACCTCTGCTTAAAATCCTGTAATGCCTCTGCATTGCCTTCAGGATAAACTCTAAACTCCTTAGCACTGCTTTTAAGACCCAGCCCCTGCTTAGCTCTAGCTGCATGCCTTCCCCAGATTGTCAGCCCCACAAACCACTTGCACACCAAACCCAACACTTCCTGTTCTCTCTTACCTGCAGGTCTTTGCCTAGAACATTCCCCCTCCCCTCTTCACCTAGTTAGTCGTCTTCCAGGTATCACCCAGATGTCACTTGCTCCAAAAGACCTACCCCCTGTCATCCAAGGCCAGGCTGGGTACTCCTGTCCTCCAAACTAGTATTCATTCTGTTTCATCTTGTAATTGCCTGTTTATATCTATCTTCCTCTCCAGACAATAAGCTCCCTGTGGACTGGGATGTTTCCATTTATCATCATGCCCCCAACACCAGAGCCTGCCACAGACACTCAATAGTTACTGAATGAATGAGTAACAAAGATAGATGCAAGTTTCATGGGTTTCCTTTTCTTCTCTAGGTACTGAAGAAGTTGCTGATATCCCAAAAAAGGAACAAACTGACCCACAAAGCACAGAGAGAGCCCCATCCCTGAAAGTCTCCAAACACAGTCTGTGCAGCAGGGAGCTTCCTTGGGATGGCAGGTTGCAGTGCATGCCCTTGGCTCACTCCCTGTCTGCAGGATGGCACAACTGGCTTCACCTCCTGGGACAGAAAGATCTGGGCTGGGGTCCCAGTTCGGCACTTACTGTGAGACCTTGAGCAAGTCATAGCCTCTACAAGCTTTGCTTACCTATAAAATAGGTCCTGGACTGCCTACTTCTCAGATTTTGAGAACAGATGAAATTACATATACTAAAGTACTTGTAAAAGCCTTAAGTGAAAGATTTATTTACCACCTAATCTTTAGGACTTACAGCTTCACTAAATAATTTTAGTTTTGCAAGTACATTAGAAAACAAAATGCCACATGGAAAGTTTCACTGCTGCAGGCAGAGCTGAGAAACAGAAAAGAGATCAGCCTTTTCTGTGCCACAACACTGCCCTAGGGAAAAGGCAATAGTGGGATCAAGAGCACCTATTTAGCTAGGATCTGTCAAAGGCCCATTGTTCCTGCCATCAGGGAGATTCCTTGAAGCCTAATTACCAAAGCAAGGGGGGTAGGGCCCCAATATCTTAAATCACCATGAAAATCAGCAGAAACAAAATTAGACATATGCAAAAGACTTTCCCTTTGGGCCCCTTCATTTATGCTTAAAGTCAAAAATAGTCGACAGCATTTCACTTCCCCTTTGGCAAGACAAACCCCATGAAACCATTTAATTTAAAGGCTTTTTATTAGGAACTAGGGGATTGAACTGCTTATCCCTCTATAACAGTCGAGAGCAGGTCACCAGGCCTAGGATGGAGAGGTTATCCAAGGTGCTGTGGTGTGCTTTGCTGCACTTGCTTAGGGCCTGGAAGGAAAGGTGGCGGCAACGGAGGTTGGCAGTAAACTGTTAGCCAAAACAACAGTAGCCTGGGGAGAGCCTTCTACCTTCCTTCCAACTCCACTCAAGGCTGGAGCATGCCAGGAGAGAGAATGTGGCTGGAGTGGGTGGGGCGCAGCAGTGTTGTCTGAACCCCTGGCTTCATTCAGTGCTGCTTTACTTGCCTGCCCTCCACTCTTCTTGCCGTTTAGTGATTAGGTATTTGAAGAACTCATACACAGACCATGCAATGGCTGTGGAGGGGATCTGGTAAATTACTCTAGCTTGTACCCCTCGGAAGTAGGCAGTCACCCCACCTACTTGATATACCGTCCTGAAGGCACTAGCCATGCCTGTAATATGTCCTGTGAAGTTTGAGTTCAAAGCCAGAGATTCCTGGGTGTTGAGCAGTGTTTTGCAAACGTCCAGTGGGGTTGTGACAGCTGCAGCTACAGCTCCTGCACAGGCTCCGGAGAGGACGTGGGAGCTGGGGTTGTACCGTCTCTGGGGGTTAAAGTGCTCCTGCAGGAACTCATAGGTCATGAAGTGAATGGCTTGGAAGGGAACGTTCATGGTCAGCTGGGTGGTGTAGCTGCGGTAAAAGGCCCCGGCCCCTTCATTTTGCCACACTGCCCGCACACAGTCTGTCACCCGGTGGTAAGGTGAGTTGTACATCTGCATCCTTTGCTTGACCACTGGTGATGCCATCAACGAGAAGGAAAAAATGGTGACAGCAACCAACCGGTGAGCAAGTGTCCAGATTCAGAGTCCCAAGTGAGTGGGTCAGCCAATAGAATGGAGACAGAGAAAAACATGAGTGAGCTGTCAGCCTGATCAGTTAAGGTTTCCCTTTTTTGAAAGAAGGGGATCAGAGAGGGTAGGTAAAAAGCCAAAAAATAATGGACCCTCTTCCAGGAGGATTTCTTTAAAACCAGCTAAATAACACATAAGATAGAGGGTTTCCTTGAACTAAGTACTTATCTATCATATCATTATTTTGTAACTCCCAAAACAAATGACTAGGTGGCACTGAACATAACAATGAATCCTCAAGTACTAAGAGCACCTAACTCTTATGACATGAGGCTGGTTACACTCCCACAGGAGGAGTGCTACCAAAAAGAAAACAAAATTCCTAGCCAAGAGTGTGGGTTCAGTTTCCAAATATCTCCTACTCTCTCAAGCAGATTACACGGTATGAGCTCTGTGGATCTTCACCTTAGCTTTGGCCCTTTCCACACTGTGGCCTTGCCCAGACAGGCAAAGAACTGAAAGTTAAGGAACATGGTAATGTTCCTTATGCTATCCCTTCATATTTGTTTGAGTACCTCCAAGATCCAAGCCACAGTGCAGGGACTGAGCTCTATAATTCACCCTTTCATTCCTATCTCAATGATCTTCATTCCAACAAGGAAGTATTTTCAAGTGTCAAAATCTTTGAAGAAAAGTGAAATAATCTGCTAATACTTCAGATGAGATGAATTCCATTACAAAAGGGACTTCCAAGAAGGTTTGGGAACAGGCTAAGTAGAGCCATATCTTTTTCCAGGGAAGCCTCAAAGATTAATTAAATCTCAAATAATATGCTACCAGTCCAAAGGGTTCCTCCTAAGTTTGGACAACATGGATGGAGCGCCCTCTAGTGGTAAGACAAGGTAACATGGCAAGATTTCCCACCAAAACTCAGGCGCTTCTCAGCTTTTTTTTTTGCAATAAAGGAAAAGCCCAGAGCAGCTGCCCCCAGAGGGAAAAATTGAGGAATCGTTACCTTCAGCTGGATTCATGGCTGCATCATGAAGTAATGTTGCTACACACCCAGCCGCACCTGCAAAGGAGAAAACAACTGCCACATGTAAGGCCTGGAGAGGGCAACTGATTCACTGAGGCCCCAGAGAAAAGGGAAGTGGCTGTGCTAAACCACAGCGCGGTGAGGAAATGCTAAGAGCCAGTTCAAAAGATGGGAACCCACTGCTCCTAAACTCCTGTTCTGAGAAATGAAGATATTTGTTCTCACCAACTTAGTAAGGTCACCAATGTACACTCAACATCTAGAATACTAAGGGCAGGAAGAATAAAAGAAAACAGCCTAGATCTTATCAATGAAGATTCCAAGAACAGGCCCTGGCCCAGTAGCTCAGTTGGTTAGAGCATTGCCCCGATACGTGAAGGTTGTGGGTTCAATCCCTGGTCAGGGCACATACAAGAATCAACCAATGAGTACATTAGTGGAACAACAAATTGATGTTTTTCTCTCACTAAAATCAATTTTTAAAACTTCTAAGAAAAAAGATGGTTCCAAGAAAAAATNAATACGTGAAGGTTGTGGGTTCAATTCCTGGTCAGGGCACATACAAGAATCAACCAATGAGTACATTAGTGGAACAACAAATTGATGTTTTTCTCTCACTAAAATCAATTTTTAAAACTTCTAAGAAAAAAGATGGTTCCAAGAAAAAATTCAGTTCATGCCCCAAATAGGAAGCAGATACACTGCAGCCAAGGGACGCTAGCACATCAACTGCCTTTATTGGAAAGAGAACATGGGGGGCAGGTGGCAGATCTTCACCACAGAATCTCACTTTCTATCCTGATGCCCCTATGCTGCCCAACCTGCCTCCAAATCCCAACATCTGTCCATCTAGACCTTTCCTCAAGTTCTGAACTACAGTATTCCTCACCCTCTGCTCTCTACACTCAATTTGGTTTTTGGACAATCCTCAATCTCCAGGCTGCTGTCCATTCCCTTACTTCCACACAACTTCCATCCCTCTGGTTTCTTCATACAGAATCCCTTGGCCCCACCCCATTCACTTGTTGAGGTCTTGTCATGTCCTCAATGACAAAAACTGCCTCTAGTCAGTTGGGATCCTGAAAAGGTGAGGCGAAGAGCTGGGGCTCCATTAGTGTCTTCCTTGGGTGGCTGGGTCACCTCCAATCCTGCCCAGAGGAGCAGGTAACCACCTGACTATCAAGAAATATACAACGGGGGTAGTTCAGTGTGTGTCTCCACATTACCAGGGAGAAGTTGATGCCAGGGAGAAGATGAGAGGAAAGAGTCAAGCTGGTAGGTAAGGGAGGAATTGTAACCCTTTGTTGAGGTGCCCCAAAGGAGGGGTGGGGTTGAAGCAGCCGGTTGTCTCAGAACATCAGGTTTGGAAGTCCCTCCCCTATAATCTGGCCTACCCCAGCCCAAAGCTTCAGCTCCAAACCATGCTGAGACTGGAAAGCACTGACAGCAGCAAAGCCCAAAGAACTGGGAAAATGGGGGAACCAGCACAGGAAGGCTCAATACCATTGGCAATATGGCTATTGCCCCCAGGATGGATTATATCACTCAATGTCTTTTTTAACTTTTCGTAGCAGGCAAAATAGAGGGCATGGGCAGGCCCTGCGCCTGTTGCTGTGACATTCAGCCCCCGCATGGGCCTCCACAGGCCCTCCGTTCTTATAATCCTCCAGAGGGCCTCCAACACATTGCGATAGCGGGCTGCTGGGTCGGGCTGTAGGCTCTGCATTCGGGTCTGAAATTACAGAAAGAAGTGCAATGTCAGTGAGGCCAGCTTCTCAACCTCAACACTCAGGCTCTGGGCACTGGGCAGACCTTCATGGAATGAAGCCAGTGTGCAGGGAGTGGTACCTGGCATCCAGTTTTACTTCCTTTCAAATCTATATCCCATCTTTCTAAGCCTTGGACCTTTCTTTTTCTAGTCATTGGTGACCGTAAGAGTATTTCCCTGAGGAGTATTACCCCTTGGTAAGTGTCTTTGAACTCCAAAATGATTCATAGCCCCAGGAACAAATATCGAGCCTGTGTTTCAGAAAGCTGCTTTTGTGCCTTAAAAACTCAGGCTAAGAATTCTTTACAAATGGATTCGAAAATCAAGTCTTTATTGCCTACACATACTTGATCCATTTCTGAAGACTGATCCTGGGCCTGCTTCCTGACCAAATACTACACTGACTAATGAGATGATGGCTCATTTTTTGATATAACTGAGATGGTAATCTGACTTTTTGACAGTATTTGGCATTGGCAGCTGGGTCTGTAAGATAAAGTCTTGGCAAAAGTAGCATTCCTAATAGATGATGCTCTAATTCCTGGGAAGAAAGTTTACCCTGAAACTATGAAGATGGAAACCAACTTAGTCTCTAAAATTGACAGGGCTTCCAGATTTCTAATCTAAATTGACCAAATCCTAAAACTGGCATCAGTAAGTAAAATTAGTCTTGGTGAAATATAATCCTTGGAATCTCTAGGAGACTCAAAGATTGAAATTAAAAGTTTATGGTAGACACTTTTTTTTTTTTAACTTCTGTAATACCATGGATGAATTCCACAGCTATAATGTTAAATGAAATAAATCAGACACAAGAATATATATACTGTATGATTCCATTTATATGTGTTTGTCAGTGTAAGAAATGTCCAAACTTGTAGAGAATTTTTATAGGAGTTTATTTGAGCCAAACTGACAACATATGCTGGGGAGCAAGATCTCACATGCTCCTAGTAGACACTTTGTATGATATTCCTTGACAAAGTTTTATTAAAATTTGGGAAATGAATCTTACTTAAAACACTTCCCAAAGGGTAAGTGTCTCTGAAGGGTGTGTCTCTCAATGAACATCTCTTGTCTACTGATGCATTTCAAGGTTAAGGTGGCACGGGGACTAACAGAATATAAAATCGATATCTGGTGCTTGGACCACTGCCCGCACTCCAGATGTTTGTTGAAAGAATAAATGAAGTTAATGAATCAAAAAGCAGCAAATCAGCCACTAGTGAGCCAGTGTAGGGGTAACTAATGCCCAAGTACAGTTTAAATTCCCACTTCATTCTAATCACTGATTGAATCTGCGTTTAAAAGCTTGAATCTTCCTGTTGGCCATCTGGAACCCAAGAGTAATGCCTTTTCTCAAGAGCATGGGAGAAAAGAAACTAACTGGACTAACAGAAACTAACCCTATTAACACGTCTGACTTAGCCACAAGCAATCCACATTCTTCTATATTACTTTTTTCCTGCCTCCTGTCAACAAATAACTGGAAGTTCAATCAGAAATACACAGTATTTAGCACAATTTAACACATTTGTTTCCACTTGTCAAAAAAAGACACCTCAGCCCGGCCACTTTTTATATTCCTCAATAGTTTGAGCACCGACCTGTGATCCAGGTGATCACTGTTCAATTCCTGGTCAGGGCACATGCCTGGGTTGCAGGCTCCATCCCCAGTGGGGGGAGGGGGGGTGCAGGAGGCAGCTGATCAATGACTCTCTCATCATTGATGTTACTATCTCTCTCCATCTCCCCTCCTTTCTGAAATCAATACAGATATATTAAAAAAAAAAAAAAGACACCTCATAGCCCGGCCAGTGTTCCTCAGTGGACCTAGGAACCAAGAGGTCACTGTTGGATTCCTGGTCAGGGCACCTGCCCTGGTGGTGGGCCATTCTTGGGGGCGGGTCTCCCTTCCTCTCTCTCTAAAAGTCAATGAAAACATGTCTTTTTAAAAAATACAAAAACCTCATAAATATCCAATAAAGGGTGTGCTTACCGTTCTTTCACATCACCCAGGGGATGTAAAATTCATCACATGAGTTATTCAAAGAGATTACAAGTCTTTGTTGGCTATGGCCACTAATAGATAAGTTGGGCCTAGCAGCTTAACAATTCTGTGTTTCCATAAGTCTGTTTGTAACTGGTCTTACATAGGGAGAATGTTCCAAAATTGCACTGCTTTGCTGGAGTCAATGGCAACCAGTCTTGGAAGGTCTGGCCTCAGAGGCCTGGAACACTCAAGAGAAACCTGAACTGTAGGTAAGTTACTCTAAACACTTTGCACTTCTAAATCTAACTCACAATTCTAACTCAAGGAAAATAAATCCTTAGGACCGAGGCATAAGCTATGCCAAATAAAGTGAACATGGCTCCCCAAATGGTGGGCCAACAGATCAGTATTTTGGGAAAAGATGGACTCTCTAAGTAACAATTAATAGCCTTCGATATAAACCCTGGCTCTGAAGAAAAGCCAAACAAACTAGTAAGGAGATAAGTGGTTTGGTAAAGGACAAGCCACATTTGAGTCAGAAAGCCTGCGTTTAAGCCCCAGCTTAGCTAAATGTGTGGTCTTGGGTACGTCAGTCTCTCTGAGCTTCAATATTACGCATAATATTGCTTAGTCTATAGCATAAGGCTAAGAATGGCTGGCTCATAGGGCTGTTGTGAGGATTCAGAGTTAAGGCATGTAAAAGCCATTGGTAATTTATAAGGTGCTAGAAATGGGCTTTTTATTGTATTTAAATATGACTCTCAGAAATATTAGTTCAGATTTTAGAATTTACAGATCATGGCAGTGTTGTAAATTTTATGTCACTTCACAAATATGCATGGGCAACTAACTGGTCCTTAACCACTAGTCAATCAGGTTTAATTTAGTATTGTTTTCAATTTAAAGTTTCTCTGTGCCCCTGGCTTGTGTGGCTCAATTGGTAGGAGCTTCATGCAGTATGCCAAAAGGTTGCGGGTTCAGTTCCCGGTCTGGGCACACACCTACATTTCAGGTCCAAGCCCGGCCTGGGACCTGGAGTGTGCAGGAAACAACCAATTGATGTTTCTCTCACACAGTTGCTCTCTCTCCCTCTCTCCCTCCCTTCCACTGTCTCTGAAAGTCAATGAGAATAAGGATTAATTTCTCTGTGGGTATAATTATACGTCCAGCTTTTAATCCATAGGCCATGTTTAGGAACAAGCACTACTGTGACATTCTGTGCCTTGCTTGGTTCTGGAAATCTGCTTTTGGGAGGCGGTATGGAAGGCTTGGGAGTCAGACTGGGTTCAAATCATGACTCTACCACTTAAACTGTGACCTTGGACAAGTTACTTAACTTGCCTCTTTTTTTTCATCCGTAAAATACTGAAAATGGTGTACACTTCATGAAGTCGTTTCAAGGATTAAATAAATAAATGAATATAAGATATGTCAGATAGTGCTTGGCAAGTAAGAACAATTGCCATTTATTGAATATTTTTTATTATTATTAGATGCAAGAAAAAAAAATAAGCCAATGTTTCCATTTCTTAATCTTTCATCGAATGTGTATAGATATCCATTTACATCTGGAGTTTGGAAAAAATTCCCCTTTAACTTATTATGGGAGTAGATTATTTGCTTCACCATTACAGAGCCAAGAAGCAGCACCTTGGAGATTGGTAGGTACTTCGCTGGATGATTCTGAGATGAGTTCTGAATGCTTTGAGCTCCAGAGCCTATCCCTACAGATAAACCTGGTGCTTGCCTCTGAGACCCAGAAAAGGAAAACTGGGATTTATTTGGGTTCTCAAACTGCCCTACGACCATGGAAATAGTTGGCTGAATAACTATTGGCCTAACAAGGCTATGCTGACTTTCCATGGTCCCTCCCAAGGATATTTTAAGTTGATTTGACCCAGATAAGTGGCTGGGGGCACACAGGCTTGCATGCCAAGAAGCAATGTCAGCTTTCATTTGCTAACACTGTGGTTGCCCTAGAGGCTCCAACACGGATACCTGCCTCTAGCCTTAGGGTACAGTTGGGTGGCTCTTCCTCTCTACCATTCATTTATGGTAAAGAGGAAGAAGAGCTGCCCAGCTACAAGTGAACTGTAAGCCTTTTCTGAAGGAAGAGAGTTAAATTTTACTTTCATGTCTGTACAAGTGTTTAACATACTAACACGAAATCCTACTGATCTCACCTAGTTCTTCTCTCTGGTCATTTAAGTCCCATCACTAATGGCAAATGAAAATGGTTCTTCTAAACTAGTTTTTGTGCCCCAGCCGGTTTGGCTCAGTGGTTAGAGCATCGGCCCGTGACTAAAGGGTCCTGGGTTTGATTCCAGCCAAGGGCATGTGTCTCGGTTGCAGGCTCGATCCCAGGCCTGGGGCGCCACGTGCGGGAGGCAACCAGTCCATGTGTCTCTTTCACATCAATGTCTCTCTCTTTCTCTGAAAAAAGCAAAGGAAAAATATCCCCAGGTGAGAATAAAATAAAAAATAAAAGTTTTTGTTTTTAAAGACTCCTGAGCATTTTTCTTCCAGATTAAAAAATTATTTCTTTAATGTAGGGCGTTGAGGCATGACTATAATGTTGTATGACAAACTTAAAAAAAAATTCTAAAGCTTATGTAAATGAGTAAGAACTGTTCTTCAAAAATACAGTCGTTACCTTGGAAGTCTAGAAGTGACTCCCAGCAATGCTGTGGTTATGCAAAACATTTCTGGAACTCTCCTTCAGAACTGGTTCCCTTAGCCGCTTTATGAGCCTCAGCAGTTCACTGGTCTTGCTTTTTGGTTCCACCTTATCTTTGACCCTAACCAGTATTACCCATTTTGACATACTTGATTCTGAATGGTCTCAGTTACTAAAAAAATCAACTCCATCTTGTCACAGGACAAAGATTTGCCCCATTAGGGCTATGCACCCAAATATTCTAGAGGCATTTCTGACAGAGGGATTTATAAAATGCTTACAGCAACAATAGAATTACGTAAATACATGGAGTAAGGAACTAGTCTTCCAAGGTAATGGGACACACTTAAATTGATAAGTTGCAGTAACATTACATTGTATATTTTGTCATTAATAATTTTCATCACGTTCCTTGATGTAGTTTTCATTTGATACCTATCCTGAAACAGAGCACCCCAGACCCTGCTCTTCACTCACAGTCTAAGTACAGTGATGTTATCTTGCAGTTAGATCATGTTAACTTTTGGATATACAGCATTAACAATTCAGTCATTCAACCTAGCCTCTATTACATAAATGTCTGAATCTTTTTCATTTGTAGTTATCCATTTTACATCTTGATATTGTCAGAGCATTAACCATCTTCTTACTTCTCTCTGATGGATTTTACTGTTTATTTCTATTCCTCCCAACTGACAAGGGCATTTAAAATTCTAATGTCCACTTTAGCCAAGGGCATTCACTACCCTTTCAAATGGGATGGCCCCTGTTAGGAGTTACCTTACAGTGTGCTAGAATCCTACTACCAAACTCAATGTCATCCACAAAGCTTAATGAGCCCTTTCCCCATTTCCTCAGCCACATTACTAATGAAAACATGAAACGGTACTGGAACCAGAGGAAGGCAAAAGAAACAGACTTTGCATCAAGGAGCTGACAGGATACTGTTTGACTATGCCCTTAACACATAAAGGAGGCACCAGTCTCTATCGTATTTCAAGTTTCCTTCTCAATTTAGTTCTGTTTTTTAGCGGTTGGTACCTAGCTCATGCACAATAAGAAATGTCAAGAATAATCTGTTCCCCTCTTCACCCAGCTTTCTTCAGAAGGACATGACTTCTGAATCCACTGATCAGCCTGCTTGGCTGTGGATGCAATTACTAGACTTACCCTCACCCAAATCATACCCTCGCACTGGGCCCACATCATCTATCCACTTTCTGATACCGTAATGCTTCCCTTCTAGGCAACTTTTCCCTTTTTGTCAACTTCAGATGGCTAAAGAAATACACTATCAGTTTCATCTCCCAGCTGGGAGCTGGTGTGCTCCCTGCATATACACAATCCTAATCCCAGCTCAATTTTCATTTTCAGGAAATAGGTGGGGTGTCACAGTTGCTGCACATAGAAACCGAAACCTTTTCCTGAACAAGTCTTTCCCACATTATTCCGTCTGCTACTCTGAATTACGACTGCACAATCACTTCCAATCACTCATGGGTTAGATTTATTAAGTAAATCTTTTTTCTAGCGGAGAGATACCAGATTCTAGTTCCTGCCCCGTCACTTTTGAGGGAAGACACAGAAAGGAGCTTGTAAAAGCACTTGCCCAGCATCTCAAGCCACTAAGGGTCTGATTCATGCCAGCTGGCTTCACCTTAAGTTAGCACTTACCTGTTCTCATCCCATCCCACCCTATTCCTGTTTAGTCCCAGCTGAGATCCAGGGCTTGGGCTGACAGATTTTCGTTCCAGAGTCCCGATTCAGATCTCACTGACGGTTACAAATGGGTCCTGGTTCCTGACTGGGATCGACTCCCGGCCGGGACCTTGCTTGCAGGGAGTATCGGTCGAATAGTGTGGTGGTGGCGGGAGCCAGAAAGGAACTCATGTCGACTCCGGCTCTCGGCCGGGATCCTGGCTCCGGACTGGACCCAGGGGTCGGGTCAGCCCCAGGTCGGGTTCGGAGCCGGTCCAAGTCTCACCTTGACGCAGTCGATGGGGTACATCACGCAGTGCTCCAGAATCCCTGCCACGGCGCCCGCCACCATGTGCGTGGTGACAGTGGCTCCAGCCGGCAGCGCCTCGTAGTCCGGATCAGAGTCCGGA